ATATCTCTGGTGCTCATAAAAATATGAGAAAATTACAGTAGCATAGTACTATTCTAAGTAGACTACCATAAAATTTTCATTGCATTTAGATAAGTATAACAGTCTACACAAAAAATGACAAGCTATGGTAGATAATTGAGCATGAAAATACTTTGTACTACGAAAAGTGTCAAACAATAGATTTGGTATTTTTCCCATGATCTACAGAGCATACAATTTCTATCCAAAAAGTTTCACCTACATGTATTATTCATATTTTTAGCCCTAGCAATTTTACAAGAAATCAACAATTAATACACATAACCTACCTAGCCATATTTTTCCACATAACCTGCATGACATATATTTTTTACTAAAAGTACATCTCAAGAATAGACTAACAAATTTGGAATCACATTTTTCTGATACATATAGAATTTACTACACATTTCACAAGATATCAGCAATATCAAGAATTAAATAAAGCTCTACATTAAAGTAGCTCAAAAATGACATGCAATATTTTTATCATGTAGATCTGATGACAAGGAAAACAACAAAATTTATTTCAACAAATTTGGAGCCATGTAACTCGAGATCTACATTTTACAAGCTCTTTAATCCATTTTTGAAATCATATTAGAAATCCTTTTTAAAAAAACCAGCAGAAGAAAAGCTGGTGCACCCGGATTTGAACACGCATGTACACATGAGAGACCGACAACGGGCTCTGGGGTCATCGGGACCCCACCGTCGGCCCCCGAGGCATAGGAGGCCGTGTTGTCTGGTGAAGCTTCATGCGTCGGCGAGGTGGCCGGCGACGAGGTCACCACTCAACGTGACCACCTTGCCAAGGCGGACACAGTAGTGCAAGTGGCGGGGTGGAGGAGCTCGAGAGCGAAGCTGGGCGTGCCATGGCGGCGGCGGTGGTGGTGGCTTTCACCGTCGGCCGGCCATCTCCACGAGAGGAGGCGCGAGAAGTGGCGTGGGAGCTTCACCGAGCTCGAGCGGTGCTCGTGCGCGTGAAACGATAGTGAGAGGGAGTACGGAAGGGCGAGGTCCATGGAGCGGAGTGCTCCGATGAGCTCGGCCACGACTCCGGCGAGGGATTATCGGGGAAGGGGAGCTTCCCATGGCTTACCGAGGCAAGCATGAGGCACGCGAGGAGGAGGCGGTGCTCAGGGCGAGATGGAGCGAAGCTGAGCTCGGAACTGGCAAGCGTGGCACGCAGTAATAATGGCGCCATGATGGCGAAGGCATGAGGAGCAGCAATGGCCATGCGGTTGCTGCTTGCGTTAGCGGAGAGAGAAGCGAATTGGCAGAGTGAGGAGGAGCACAATGGGTCACAGTGAAGGCGGCGGCGTATGCGTGGGCCCTGAGGTGCCACCCGACGCCGTCGCCGGCGTTCAAGTGACCATGCTGCAATGGCCTCGACGCCGGTCGGGCATGGTATGCTGGGGAGGCGGGTGAGGCTATGAAGGGCAGGGTGGCTTTAGGGGTAGGAAAGGAGGCTGGCCCAATAAGGTAAAAGCAGGATTTTTTTAAATTATTTTAAATTCCTTTTTCATTCAAATGAAATTTTAAACTAATTCAGAGCAGTTTCAAACTTTGGCCCAAAAATAAAAGTTGCTCAAAATTTTATTCTCTACAACTTTGCTTTTATGACCAAAGTCAAATTCCAAATATATTTTGAATTACATATTTAAAGTCAAATAAAATCCCAAAACCCTAGTTTTGAAGAATTAGTTTAAAAGCAAAATTTGGCAAGAATTTAAATATAAACTTAGCTCCAAATTGTATCTTGATTGTTTATAAGCTATCTTAGTGATCAACCCAAGAAATCATGGCATCCAAACATGAGCATGGCATTCCCACTAGTTTAAACATGATGAATTTCAATCAATTTAAACATCACATGAAATGATACGTCATTTCTTTCGGAATGAAATGCATAAATGATGCTTATGCATAATGAAATGATGATTATGCTCATAAGATGGAATGTTAATGCATGCTTAACACCGAGGAGGTGTTACAAGTCCTGTAGCGACCATGGCGGGGAGGCGGCGTTCGATCTCCGACAAGGAAGGTCGTGGCGGAGGGAGACGCTGCAGCCGCGAGCCTCACGGGTGGCCCGGCAGCACCGCCAAGATGAGTTCGTCTTGAAGTTCCGGTTCGTGATGAGCGTGACCATGGAGGCTCGCGATGGCATTCTAATGAACTTAGGCAAATTTTTCCAAGATCTACGTGACATTCAACACGACTATAACCTACACCATTCTCAAGTGCTCACCTTGATGCAAATCACTAAATAAAAACATGGCACTAGTGTTTAACTAAATTTTCAGAAATCAATTACCAAAATGGCATTGTCTACCATCATTTCATACTTAAAAGAATTCAAGGTTTCAGTTAGAATTAACATTCCTAAGCACTTTGCCGTAATTATTGCAAGGTCTAAACCTCGACGATTTCAACTAACAAACATAGCATGACATAGCCCATACTCCATACTAACCCACGGGAAGCGAAACATTTGAGCGCCTCTTAATTATTTTGTTTAATATAAATAGTCAAAAATAGCATCCTAACTATAATTTCAATTTCCGGCCGATTCACAAAAGGTCCAGTTTAAATGTCGGATTTGATTTAAGAGCTATTACTATTGAACAACTTTTATTCACCAAAACAAGAGTTGCATTTTCATCTATTAAGCTTGCGCTCCAAATTTTATTCAAGTACTAAATACAAGTTATATTTTATTTTGTTTATAAAAATTGCTTCTCGTGCCAAATAATTAAAAGTACTTTTTTTATTTTCTTGTTAAGATTTTCATTAGCACATTTAAGTAACTAACTCACTATATTTATAAATCTATTCCTCAGACCATAATCTCAGTGCTTAGCGAACTCGTAACACCAGAAGTGTTACAGGTGGTTCCAACGGATGATTCAGTTGGAAGCTTGGATGGAATTCAAGTGTGGTGCTTGGATGAAATCCAGGTGTTGGTTCTTGAGGAGAAGGCATAATTTTACCTAGTAATTAGGTGCTAAGGATTTAAGGAAAAATAGATGTGTCGCGCTTGTGTCAAACCTTGTAAGTCTTTTCTTGTGTTGGCCCTCATGTCATACTTTTCCTACACTTGCGGAGTACATTTCGATGTACTCAACCTTCCTTTTTGTCCCCCTTGCTACCCCACCTAGTTGTTCGGACTAGAAGACAAAGTTTTTAGAAGATGGAGTTTTTCAAAAGATGGTGTTTTTCAAAGACGGTGTCATTGTTAGGCTGGTGTACCCCCGGTCAACCTTCGTGTGGAGATGGCGTCCCTTTCCGCTAGTAGTTTATGAGTTTTTCTTTCAGACCCATGGGTCATTTTTGTAATAATATTTTCGTTATGTAAGCAAACCTGCTACGATACTATAACGAAGTCGACATATGTACGAATAAATTGATCCCAACATACATATATTGTGTATTCGATTTTGTCCTTAAAATCGGGTGTGACAATATGTGACACTTAACATCAGCCAACGAGTATATAATATAGCCTATGCTTCTAATCAGGTTGGAATAGACATAGGCTTGAGCATTTGAACATGTGTTTGGGATGTAATCGCTACAGGCATTGTGTGAAGCTCCAGAATTCAGACACTGCCCACAATCCCGATATGTGACAGCCATCACCGGCGTTTTTGTTCTGCTTTTGACGCCGCGTCGCCAAAAAGCTACCGGAATTGTAGCAAGACGATGACAATGTTTTTATTTTTCTTTAAATTTGAAAGAGTAAAATATATGGTTAGTCTATTAACTTGTCAGCTTGTGTCGCTTAGGTCCATCAATTTTAAAAGTGCATCTCTCGGTCCAAAACATTGATTAGTGGTTCATAAACATGCTATACCCCTTCGTTTCAGGTTAGTCTCAACAGGGAGTTTCATCAAACAGTTACTAACTGCCGCATCAGCTTTTGTGTTGGTAACTGTAACACAAGTTTCATCTAGATAAAACTCTCTCTCCCTCTCTCTCTTCATCGTAATTAACCTGCCAACTCAGCAAATTTGATGATGTGTCACAACATTAAGGCTCCGTTCGGTTAGGACTGTTCCAGGTCGTTCCGAGCCGGAACCGTTGCCATGTTACCTAAATTACTCAAGGAAGCCTCTAGTTGGGAATTGTTCTGAACGAACCGAATGTGGCCTAAATAAGAATGAAACTCCTTTGAAACCCCTTTGAGAGTGACCTTATAATTTGAGCCAATGTGAACCGTCCATGGTGGCTGCTAATTTGAACGAGGGTGCATGTGCAAAGCACTAGCCCGTGCTACTTTGGCAAAAAGCCCCCTGCAACCTTTGCTCCTCTCATTCCCAGTCCTCCCCTCGCTCTCACCCTCTTTTAAAAAAAATGAACGGTAGTTGCTGAATTGGACAGGGCTTTGGGAAAAGTCTTTTCTTAAAACACGTTCTCACATAATCTCACGCATAGCCCAACAGAGTGAGTTAGAGTTAGCAGCTAGACGAAGCTACTATTTCCGAGAACCTCACGCATAGCCCAACCGAACGAGTTAGAGCTATACAAAACTACTATTTTCAACTTCATCTCCATCCGTCCCTTATGAGAGAGCATGTTTTAAAAAGAGTCTACGAGGGGAGCGGTTTTATTTTACCTTGTTGGACACCTAACTCCAAACAGCTCGGCGTTGGAGCTGTGGCAATTTTGATTTTTTTTTCTCACATGGCACTCCGGTCATCGGTCTAGCGTGACGGGGTTTTCGAAAAGTCTTTTCTACCCCTGTCTCAACTTGGGTCCATCTTCTCCCCCGCACCTTCACTCGCGTCGTCCGCCTGCGCCTCCCCTCCCCACGTGCCTCTAGCCCGCGGCGCCCTCGGCCGGCCCGTGCGTGCGTGCGTGTCTGTCTCACCCGCCGCCGGTCCGCGCTCTCGCCCGTTCGCTCGCAGCATCAGGAGTTCAGGCGCGGCGAACAGGGGAAGAAGCAGCCAGCCTCACTAGCCCAGTCGGCAGTCGCCATGGGCATCGGCTACGTAGTGGGCGTCCTCGGCGGCGCCATCCTCGCCCACGCCGCCTACGTCACCATCCAGTGTACGCTCCATCCTTCTTCCATCCCCATCCTTCTCCCATCCCCTCGCCGCCGCGCTCCCACCAAATTTCGCCGTGGATCTCCGTTTTCCGAAGGTGCCTTTGATTTTGATTTTCCGTCTGATTCTGGATTGCCGTTCCGTGGTGGGTTCTCGGTTCTTCGGGACCCGCCGCGCTCTCGGATCGAGCCCGCCGTTGAGCCTTTAGTGAATTGGGGCGGGGTTTAGATCTAGTTCACGAGCTTCCGTGACCCTGGTGCTCTCTTCACCGGCCGGGTGCACCAGTACGATTGATCCGCGTCCTGGACAATTCGCTCGAACTAGATGCTGTTGTTGGCTGGCTAGTTTTGATGGCTTGATGTTTTGTGTGTTATTACAGACCGCGCGGTGCTCAAGATCACGGAGGAGGAGTTCTCGCGGCCGCCCATGGATGTACGTATTCTCAACACTGGGAATCTTTTTTTTTTAATCTAGTTTCCCGATTTGCGATATACTGGAATGAGTGGAATCTTTGGTGCTGTTTGGTTTTGGTCCAGCAGCGGCAACGGCAACGTAATCAGGAAACGGTGCTATTCATTACACTGCAATAGAAAACAGCTTTTGTTTGGTTAGCCTTCCGTGGAGTAATAATTAACGCATGACGCCGGAAGGCGGGGGGTATCGATTCCGGAAGGTTTTTAACTGGCCCATAACGCTTCCCTCGGTTATCCATTCTGAATTTTCGCAACCAAACAAATTGTTACGTGATGCGGTAGCGGAGTGAACGGTTACGGCCGAACCAAACAGCACGTTTGTGTGTATAGACTTGTCTATCTCTAGCTACCTAGGCAGCTCGGACTGGTAATTTTGCAGAGGGTTGGGTTTTGGTACTGTAGAGTAAGTGTGAACTACTCCCTCCGTCATGTAATATAGTGCATTCTAGCATTCAAAATTTGTCCTCAAATATAATGCATTCGAGATGACAAAAATCAATTTTGCATAAAATGAGGTTAATCATGTTGATGATAGCGTTTGATTAGGAAATACGTAGTAAAATGAGGGTATATTCGTCTTTTATGTTCTCTTTTAATATGTCTTAAAATTTCTAGACTGCACTATATTACAGGACAGAGGGAGTATGAATTATGCAGTGATCTGATTTGAGAAGTTTGTCGTTAGCTACAGCATGTCTAAAGAATTTTGGTGTGCAACTCAAACAGAACATGTGGCATTCTGATATGTATGAGGTTGTGAGGTGTATATGTACATGCACATATCTTTCTGTACTGTTTTTTGTGCCAACCATTTTGTTTTAGTTTGCTGTTTTGCTTTTATCAACCAAATAAGGGAGTGTTTGCTTCCCTTATGGTTTACTTCTAATCATGCAGGTGATGATGGAGTTGCTCTTAGGGTTGGGCTTGTGCATGTGGGCGGGCCTTGCTGTTCCAGCGAAATTTCTCTCGGTCCTCCCACATTCTGAGGAGAATAGGTGAGCCTAGCTTGTCCTCTGTATTTTGTAAGCTTGTTACGTGGTAATGTAGCTGATAGTCAGAAAGCTTCTGAGGAGAATAGGTGAGCGTATCTTGTCCTCTGTATTTTGTAAGCTTTGTTACGTGGTAATGTAGCTGATAGTCAGAAAGCTTCTGAGGAGAATAGGTGAGCCTATCTTGTCCTCTGTATTTTGTAAGGTTGTTACGTGGTAATGTAGGTGATAGTCGAAGCAGGAAGTGAGCCTAGCTCAACCTGGTTAGGTGGGAGGTGTGGTCATGCACCCAACCACCCAAGTCCTCTCTCGGCTTGAATTTGGCTGCCTATTTCTCTTCTTATTGAAAAACCTCCTAGTTCCTTCTAGGTTGGATCTCTTTTTTTTTTCAATCTAAAAAGTCGAAACTAGTTTCTTTCCTAAATTGGAATTGCGAAATCCTGGAACAGGGAACTAGGAAACCAAGTTACAGAAAGTGGGACTCTGTACCATTGCTTTAGCAGCCGTAATCATAATAACTTATGTAGCTGTGCGTGCATCATCAACACTAGGTTATTGCACAGGCATGCAGTATATTACAGTATCATGTGTGACCTAAAATACAGGAATATACAACCGTTTGCAGTTCTTTATCCTTCGTTGGTGCTTCTATTGATAGAAAATAATAACAAAAAGCTGGATTCTGCAACATATTTGAAACTCGTAAATTTCGTAAGTCATAATAAGTTCATTCAAATTGAATAGTCATTCAGAATTGGGTTTGTTTCATCATAACATTTGTGACTGCATCTAGCGATAGCACTTGCAAGTTGTTATATTGGAAGCGGAAAATTCATTTTTTGTGAGGCTATAGCATAACATCAAGATTAAATTTGTGATGTACATTCTGTTGATCTTGTCATTATGTCAATTTAATACTGTACTATCATGCGCCAAACTGAGAATTGGGTGGGTATGCATAACTAGTTTGTAAGCATGTACTGTCTTGCTATGTGAGTTTATTGCACATGCATACAGTGTAGTACAATGTCATAAGCCACTCTGACCTAAAATACAAGAACACAGAACTGTTTGTAGTTGTTTATCATTTGTTGGTGCTTTTATTTATATATATAGGAATAATGATAAAATACTAAATACATAACATATTTGAAACAAGTAAATTCATTCAAACATCAATTATGGCCATTCAGAATTTGGTGTATTTCATCATACCATATCTTGACTGCATAATCACTTAATTTTGTTCAGTGATGGCACCTGCCAGTTTGTATATTGGAAGAGGAAAATCTCAGTTTTGGTATATGTGGGAATGGGAGGCTATAACATAGCATCAAGATTAAATTGTGTTGCTGATTTTGTTGATTTTGTCATTTTATCAATTTGGTAATTGGTACTGTAATAATATATGCCAAATTGAGAATTGAGTATCAAATATGTGTAACCATTTTCTATATAAACCTCAATTTATTTGGTCATTTGGAGTACTGCTACACATACTACCATTTGCTACAACTCACTAACTCAGGATCTAATCGTTGAAATAGCCTATATGGAAAACTCATTGGCACAAGCTGTGAGCAAAATGGTTGTATGTAGAGCATTTCCCATTTATTTCTTAACTTCTTTCGCTCTTGCTATGCGAACCTTTTGACTTTGACTGATTTCAAATAATGTGGTGGACTGGTGGCGGTGTTTTTTTACCATGTCTACTAGTGACAAATAAACCCCCACCCGTAGTTTTATCTGGCACTTACTCTTTTTTCATTTTGGGGACATGGCTATGATACCTTTTGGTTATGAATAGGTAAATATCTGAAATTTTACCATAGTATTTACCTTAAAGTCACCCAAATGATTCTGAACTCTGGCATGTGCATTGGCGAACAAAATTCTTACCATCCTTGCCTTTTCTGAATAAGATTTTACTCTACAATGTGTACTCAAGCATCACTGTTTTACTTGTATCATTACATATAGTTGAACCTACACCAATTTGATGAACCCTGGCTGTGTAGGGGCTCTCCCCTTACATTAAGGAGTATATTGTATGATACATAACTCAGTTTTGGATCATTCATTAGTGCTCCTATCAATAAGAAGTAATAAAAGAAGGCTGAACAACGCAACATGTGAAACTGAGTAAATTCATTGAAATGTCAGTTATAGTTCAATCAGAGGGTTCATATCATCATAACATGTCTTGACTGCATAAGTACTTAATTTTATTCAGTGATGGCAGTGTGGCACCTGGTAGTTTGTACATCGGAAGAGGGGAATCTCATATTATGCGTATGCGGGACTATAGCATGACATCAAGATTAGATTCATGTTGCACTTTTTTTAATTGTCTTTAACTATTTTCTAAACCCATATTTGTTAACTGTCATCCTATGTGAATCTATACTGGCATGCACTAATTCCTAATATCTGGAGTATCTGTTTATTTGGCCATGGCTACTAAATATCTGGAATATCTGTTTATTTGGCAATGGCTACTAGTAACAGTTGAACTACCTGAGTCTTTCTTATTTTTGGTCTACTTTTCTTTGTGGACATTGTGAAATAAGAATACATCTCATTCAGAGTTTAGATTTTGTTCTCCAATGCTTACTCAAGGATCGTTGTTTTCACTTGTACTGCGTTATCACAAAGAGTTGAACCTACACCAAGCTTTTTAATGGGTATTTCGGTAGGTGTCTACCCTTACATTGGGAAGTTCTGTTATGGTTCTCTAATCCATTTGTCACCATGCCTGCAGGATCGTCTCGCTCCCGGCTAACCTAGATTTCATGATCTTCAACCACCGCGGAAGAGCGCTGCCGTCAGACTCAGACCTGACGCTCAAGACATAGACATGTCGTCCCAGATTCCAGATCTTGTTCTTTACTTTCCTTGTAACCTGGAGGAGGTTCCAGTTTTGTGCCCGTTTGTTTAGGGGGGAAAGAACTTTTCCTGAATTCAGACCACAAGTAGCTTATCTTCTGCAACTCGAGAATTTGTGGCACCTTAATTGCTACAATCTGTATGGAGGTGATTCAAGCTTCTGTTGTCGTCTGAGCAGATCAGTCCTATGACTAATCAGTAGCTTTGTTACCCTTGCTGATATTTCAATTAACGAATACAAAATGCCCGTGCGCCACTCGAGAAAATAATTCTGGCTGTGTTTGATTCCTATCCCTAAACTTTAGCCCTCGTCATAATTGGATGTTTGAACACATGCATAGAGTATTAAATATAGACTAGTTGTGAAACTAAATGTACATATTGAGATTAATTTGCGAGACATTTTTTAAGTCTAATTAGTCTATGATTTGACAATGTGTGCTACAGTAAACATGTGCTAATGACGGATTAATTAGGCTTAATAAATTCATTTGCGGATTACTGAGGACTTCTGTAATTTATTTTATTATTACTATCCGAACACTCGATGTGATATCTCCATGTAACATCCGATATGATACCCTTAAACTTTAGCCCCTCAATTCAAACACCCTCTGCTTGCCCCGCTATACATAGCTTCCATTAGGAAATAGAATAATCATGAATTTTGGGTAATCTGCTAGGCTGCTAAAGTAGTGATAAATTATGTCAATAAAATACTATTCCTTCGTTTCTAAATTACAAGATGTTTTGATATTTCTAGATATATAATTTTTCTTTGTGTGTTTAGATTTTAAACATAACATATATAATTATATTAAGGTACGCAACAAAAGCCTCTTCCTAATATACAAAGAAAAAATTTAGACATAACATATATAATTATATCAAGGTACGCATGACAAAAGCCTCTTCCTAATATACAAGAATAAAGATTTTGGTGAAAAATATCCTCCAATATCCCTTTGATTGGACATCCAAATATAGACATTATTTATTCCAGATTTCTCGATAGCCAAAGATGACGAGTGAGGATGACTCTAGAGGCGCACATAAGATATAAAAAGTTATTGAAGAGTACAATGATATAGAAAGCGATTTTTACTCAAATGACTCTCCAAATGATAATTTAGAGAATAAATTTTAGAAAAACTCTCGGAGATACTAAACCTCCTAAGAAGAGCACCGCTATCTTCTTCTTAACTTATAGGAATATTTTTTTTTTTGAAAAAATACCCTCCAATAGTCTTTTGAAATTGAATATCTGAATATAGACACTGTTTCAGATTTTTTTTCTACCTGAAGATGAAGAGCGAGGAACTCAGGATAACTCTTAGAGTGGACACAACATCTATAGAAAGGCCCCATTTGCGTGCCATTAAACTCGGCTTGATCCGCTTTTTTTTTATCCGGAACAGTATTTTCCTCTCACAAATTCCTCCAACATTCCTCCGAACCATCTAAATTCCTCCGAACGAAAAGGCCCAAAAACTGTGTTACGACGAGTTTGCTAGTGGCAACAAACATCTTATTGGTCACATCACATCCCCCAAGTGTATCTAGCGCCACGTCACGTCCCAAACATTGCCCTGAATCACGGATGGGCAGCTTCTTCAGATCTGAAGAGAGAATATTCCAGCTGGACTGCTCATCCACTGAATCCACCGCGGCCCCAGACAAAACGTGGGAATTGGAATCCCTCTCGCGCTCCCCTTCCTCTCTCCTTACTCGCGGGCCCCACCGGACAGGCTCTCGGCTCCCACCCCAAAAAAATCGGCCCGGACCCCGTCACCCCGAGCTGTAGCTGCTTGCCCCGCTTGCCTTCCCCTTTCCGTTCTCGGAGGACGAGGGCGCGACGGCACGCGAAAGCGACGCGGCCGCCTCGCCGAAAACCCTCGCCTCGCTTCCGCCCTCCCTCCCATGACGGGCCCGAAACCCGCGCCCGCCGCCTCGCAGAACCCTAGCGCGGCCCCGCCTCGTCGTCCTCCTCCTCCTCCTCCGCCGCCGCCGCCGCCGCCGGTGGCGGCGGTTGCGAGGGCGCGCGAGGAAGGCGAGCTCTCCTCCGGCGCCGACGACGACGAGGTGAGCTCTCGCGCCTTCTCGACCCGCGCGCGCGCGCGCTCGATCGCTCGTCCCGGATCTAGCTGCTTCCGCTCCCGCGCGGCCGCGCTGCAGTTGCTTGCCGTTGATGCTTTGACACGTCCAGCGGCTAGGGTACCGAGCTTGGATCGGCGGGGGCTGGGTGCTTGCTTAGGTGTTCTGATGAAGCGTGCTTGATTTGCAGCTTGGCGAATTGTTGGGGGATGGACGCGCTGTTGTGGGAGTGCCTCTAAGATCTGGTAGCGACAGGAAGAGGGCTTCCAGTATGGGAATGGGACTTGACGTTGATGCATGCTTAGAAGCTCATTGTTTGGTGTTTAGGAGTTAGGACTACGACCCACATATAGGGTTTAAATGTGATCTGATTCTGCTGTTACGGTTGAGCTGCCTTAAGTTGTAGTGTAGCATAATTCAATGAAGGTGTACGGGCAGATAGGTTGCTGATGTGAGCTTTCTGCTAGTTGCCAAGTCGGTGTTGTAGGTTTGGGTACTGTATACACGGATGGTGCTTTTAGTGCTGTGAGATTATGATTGGTGTATTTATGCACTGCATTTATCTTCTCATATTTAGCATGTACATGATTGCATATTTGTCACCCTTTGTTTTATGTATGTATGAACATACTAATGCATTTATTGCTGATTCACGTGCTTAGTTTTGCAATGTTTGTCGTTTATCGTGCTCATTAAATTGCTCCGACCAGACTCTGCAAACTCGGCTAGGTGCTACATCCATTCTTGGGAAGTTTGTGGAGGCTGGATCTCAAGTGCCATCGGCAACTCTCCTTGGTAAGGGTACGTTCTGACTTCTGATCAGTGATCCTGCGTTTCATGTGTATGCCAGTTTCCTTCCCATGGAAAGATAGCCTGCCTCTTTTCTGATACTGCTGCGTTACCTCTTATCCTCTGACTTACCAGGCAGTAACACCTTGATTGTCTCGAATGCTCTGAATCATAAAGCGTCTGGTCCAAGTTACAAGAAGATCATGAGGGTGAATCAGGGGCAATTCAAGCCTGGCACTAATCGGAATCTTTCATGGCAGAAGCCTGTGTCAAGTGATAACCTTGTGATAACTTTCTCAGATGATGATGGTGAGACAGACTCTGGAAAGACAAGGCAATGTAAAGTTAGGAAGGCCAGCTCTCAAGGTACACAGAGAACAGGGAACAGTATGCAAACTAGGATCATGAGAGAGGAAGTATCTCAGCAGAAAACCCTTGGTGCAAAGGCAGGTCCTGCACACTTGCCCGCTTTTCCATTCACACACAGAAATGTAGGGGCTGGCAGGGGATCAGGTAATACCTTTGTCAGGAACGAGCCACCTGTCCGCCAAGTTAATCCTCTGAAGTCTAAACAGAAAATTCAAAATGGGGTAGGAGTACATTCTGAAGATCATAGGTTAGAAATCTTGCGCCATAAAATAGCTGCTAGAGAAAATGAACTAAAAGGTCAAAAAAGACCTTTGTCCGCCGTTGCTACAAAGAATGCAGATTTTTCTTCCAATCAGCCAAGGCTGCCATCAGAAAAGATAGGGCTTGAAGCTTCCAACAGTGGTGAATATTCACGCTTTAATAGTCTGTCTGAACTTAATTCAGGACCAAATAAAAGGTTGAAGCTCAATCATCAGCATTTGTACAGCCAATTTCGCAGTGACTTGGTAACATTGGCACCAATAGGTTCTACATCAGGAAAAAACAATGTGCAATCTTCAGAAGTGACAAATCAGTTTGAAAATGGAATTACTATGAACCTTAATGTCAATGAAACAGATACAACAGTCACAACAGAACTTGCAAATCAGATACAACAAGGTGGGGCAAGTAAGAGCCTTCGTCACCACAAAGATATAGGAGGTGCTGGTAACCATTCTATGCTTGAGTCGCACAATGGGGTTGCAGCACGACCACCATTTACTGACACACAAACTATACCAGAAGATACTAGTGCTTTGGTGCCTGTCACGTCTGCCCAAGCTAGGCAACAGGTACTGCCTGTTGGTACTCCACCTGTGTTAGACGGAACGCCACAATTGCAACCTGGAAAGGAGGTTCGTTCTGCACTCTTGTGTTGCTCTACTTATTTTTCTTGTTTAGTAATACATCTAATTAGTTGATGCTCAGTTAATGCTTCTGCTGTGTTGCTAACCTGCTAGAATGCCCCCCTTGAATGAACTATTGAGCTTGAATGCAATTGAGACGCATATAGTAGCAATTTGGAGCCACTAGAAATTTTGTACTGATTATACCTGACACTAAACTGAGAGGGGTTCCTTCTGGAAGCATCTATTTCAGCACGTCCCTGTTTTGATTTGATTGTTGAACTCATTTTAGTTTCTTTTTCTGGAATTATGTTTTACAGTGTCAAATTTCACAGTGTTAGTTACATTAAATTTTTATTACAGCACAGATAATCTGAATCATGATGCGAATCAGTGTGTAAGGTAAGGTCAATTCCCATTTTCTATTTTTTGCAGAATGCTGGATGTTTGAACTGCAGTGGCCAGATAGGCGTAGACACACGGAACACAATATTGTTCTCTCTACTTGAGATGGAAGAATTACAAGACAAGGAATTGGAGGATGCTCAGGAGCATAGACAAAATGTGAAGCTGAAGAAAGAGAAGCTCTTAGAGCTTATCGCATAAAGCACAAAGAGCTTTACTCGAGGCAAATGAAAGATGTGCAATTCTTCGTAGAAAAAGAGAGATTTGCTCTTCACAAGTCCATGGTTTAATTGCAGAGAATTCTTCTTTGGTGCAGTCTTTGAGTATTCGGAATCCTGAAGATGGCCTTGCAATGCCATCACTGCTCAATTCTCAGATTCATGCAGATAGTCAGATGCCTGAAAATCAGGGTGGTAGACACAGGCTACATCCTGAAGAACCTTCTCAGCAGCCAGTTGATAAGCATGAGGCACAGCCACACTATCATGATAAGCTTGCTGCCAGCACAGCTGATCCCAGCTCTGTGACTGCTGTCAATGCGGATAGCGTCCTTTCAGATTACATGGAGGATGATCTTCTGTTCCCCACTAGACAGGCAAGATCAGAATGCGCTTTGGATCTGGAGAATCAAATGGAAGAAACTATACATGTATATGCAGCGGAAAACAGACAAGTTTCTGGTGACAGTGCTCAGGATTATGAACTTTTAGAAGCTTCTTTGAGGTCTAGATTGGTTGAAAGATTTGGGAAGAAATCATGCTTGAATGGCACCATTGATGAAGGCACTGAAGAACTTGCTGTTGGAAAAGTAGCTGCAGAACATGGCAAGCAGTCTACATATGTTGGACATCAGTTACAGGAAGCAGAGCAGAATATTCTGACAACTCCTACTCCTGAAGGTTATATCACTTGGGTTTCTATTAATACTTCTAATTCTATACTTGATGATCTGTATATGTGTTGAGGCGTCACAGTGTATACTGATTTACCCTGCAAGCATCCATCCATTTGATAAGCTATATCTTCCATCTTTGTGATGAATATGTTTAGGCTCTTTAATATATATACTACACAATATGAATCATCTTTACTAAATATTGCTGATAGTGAGTTTTATTACTGTAATGCTATCATCTTTTCATCCTTGTGTTAACTTGCATGGAAATATATTAAAATTTGATTCCTATAGGATGAGGTCATTACTATTTAGAGGCATCGATTCTTTTTTTTTTTTTTATGTTGATGGATAACAATGATCTAAAACTATGTCTATGCAGACAATTGGGCATACTCTTGAATATCCTAGTGTGGCTAGAAGTTATGTTTCTCAGTTTGCTCCTTTCCTTTTAGGAAATGGACTCTACACTGGCGCATGTGAACTTCTGTGTAGCAATACTTTATTTTGTTGTGCAGGTACAATGGAGCTGGAAAATGATGGTGCTGAAAAAACTGGCGGCCTCTCTAATTCTAGTAGTGGTCCTTCAATGGGCAACTGTGATCCTGAGGACAACATTTCTTCTCTCAAAGAGTTAGGCATGCCATTGGCTACGGACACTCTCATTTTTTCTTCTTCAGCTCCACTAAATGCTGCTAGACAAATCAAGCGGGCATTACCTGGGATTTGCAAGGAGCCTTCAGATTACAAAAATGACTATGTGACCAGTGATGCAGCGTCTGAAGTTACAGAAAGTGTACAAGATATGATACATGACCTTGTTGGAGAAAATATGAAGATTCTCCCAACTACCCAAAAGGATAATAATATGGTACACAGTGTGATCGATCCCTTCTGGCCCTTCTGCATGTTTGAGCTTCGAGGAAAATGCAATGACGAAGAGTGCCAGTGGCAACATGTTGAGCATCATGCTTGGAGAAAGCCAAAGCTTACAAAACGTTCTATGACCTCTGTTTCAGGTTTGCTATATTTACAATTGCTCTCTTATCGTGTTGATTACTTGACTGTATAATTCCATAATCCACACATTATGCATTATGAATGTTCGACATTTAATTTATTGTAACGGATGATTTTATGCAGGCCAGATTCCTTATGGTTTGTCTCAGCATATTCTTCCTGTGCCAGTGTATCGTGTTGGTTCAAATCTCATTAAAGCTGATCTGAACTTGACACAGTCAGTTTTGGCTAGCAGTTTATGGCAATATTGGCAAAGGGGGTTTTGTGCTTCCTTTCCTTTACCTTTATCTGTTCAAAGAGTTCTTCCATCAGATGCACCATTCTTACAGGCTGGTGATGGTCGGATTGCTGATTTTGATAGGAACAGACAACTATTAAAATTTCGAATGCTGGATAGCAGGAAGGTGGGTAGAGCGCACTGTATTGCAGTTATCATCACATCGCGGAAGTGGCATACATATTGGAGTCTGGTTCTCCACACTAAACTTATTCTTGAAGTTTCCTGCTCTTTCTATTCTTGTGATATTGCATAATGGCATATCAAATATTTTGATTAGGTTATATTGGTACTTGTTAGCACTGCACTCTTTTCTTGTGGTTCCAATGCAAAAATGCTCTGAATTTGACAATTGCTTCTGTACTGGAGTACTGGACCAAGTATTCACCACCACTTAGGGTTTAAACTTTATTAACATACATTTCATACTTATGGGGTTTAAACTTTATTAGCATACATTTCATAGTAGTTGTAACATGATGAATTGACATTTTTGGTTTGAATGAATATATTTACTTCATTGATATCTGATCTGCTTGTATTTTGATTATTGATGTGTAACTTTTTATTCTGTAGAATAAGATTGTACAGGGTCCTGTTGATATTGAATTATTCTTGGAGGCAGCTCTTGATTTATATTGTGGAAAAGGAAACAAGCCTGAAAGGATCAAGGTGACTTCTGTATTGGATATTGTACCCTTTAGTTTAGAACATGTTTTAGCTACTTCTACACAGTTGAGCTCAGGTTGGATATTGTTGGCCATTAGCTTATCTCTAAATAATGTGTGTTTTGCAGGCTCTTTCATTTCTGGCGCGCGGTCCATTGAGTCTGATCCAAGTACAGTTATCCTGTGGGTGTTTTATCTCCATATTTACTATCAAAAGGATGAAGGACTTGGAAAAGATGACATGTTTTCTGATGCGGTAAACTATTTACTGGTTGCTCTCTTGCCATTTAGTTTGAACTAAAAATTTTATGTTGGAATGCATGAGCTACAGATGCTTTACTTTTTTTTTTTTCCTTTTATTACCCTGCTTGTTCTAATGTATCAATTATGATCTTATTCATACAAAGCTAAATTTTGTTCATTCGGTATGGTTTGCTTGATTATGATTGCATCCCTCTAATGCCAGATTGTGCTTCAATCCTAGTGTGGTCCATCTTGTTTTTTACTTTTTGTTTTTAGGACATGAAAAAACTTTAGATGAGATTGAGGGCATTTCATATTTGTGGTTTGCATCCAATTGATGCATGGTTGCTTTATCGTTTGTAGATGCTATTGCATACTTATCAACAAACCTTATACTTTGTTTTCTTTCTAGGTGCAACACAATTTTTGTTCCTATGAATTATGGCTTATGTATATAAATAGTAGGTTACGTGTTGATGATCGACTGGATGCTTATAACGATGCTTTGAGCATGCTCTGCCAAATGACAGCTGACAATGACAAGGATCTACAAGAAAGAAGTGCTTTCATACTAGACATCTTCTTACAGATGATTTACTTCCTGTGCATGTCTGGAAATGTAGAGAAGGCAATTTCTAGGATTATTGGAATTCTTCCAACTGCAGTGCCTGATAATTCTGGTGACAAGTTGCTTGCTGATGTCATTTCTAGCTTGACCATGTCCGACAGATGCATATTTTGGATTTCGTGCCTATATATCTCAATTTACAGGAACCTTCCAGAGGAAATTATTGATCAGCTAGAGTTCCAGAAAGCTTTTCCTCGTGCCTTAATATGGCCTTCTATTGATCCCAGTGTAGATAACAGAGATAAGATTATAGAACTTTTAAATTATGCTGCTTATAAGATGGCTGAAGATATTAGTGAGTGTGTGTTAAAACGGGATCCATCTTACCTGATGTTATCACAATTCCTCGCTGTTAACCACATTAGTTGTCTAGCGGCTGTTGAAGGATTCAAATCTTCTGCTGATATGCTGGTGACGTACATGAAGGAGTACCCAATGTGTCCTCAGATTCTGCTTATCTCAGCTCGGTTAGACAGAAAGCATGGTACATGTCCTGGTCTGAAAAGCTTTGATGAGTTGATCTTGAATTGGCCTAAAGAGGCACAAGGAATTCAATATATGTGGAATCAATATGTTGAGCATGTTCTGGCCACTGATACCGAGTTAGCTGAGAAGGTACTGACTTGCTGGTTTGAAGAACACGGAAAAGATTGTGATATCCAAACCAATTCTGCTATTTGTATAGAACTGAGCAGCGAAGAGCCTGGAACATCATCACTTGTTCCCCAGGAAGTTGGTTCTGGTCCATCTATATCAGAAGATCACGTCTTTCGGTTATTAAACCTCTCATTGTACAAGATACTGGAGAACAACCTACAGGAAGCACAAATTGCTGTGGATAAAGCATTGAAATTGGCTCATGGGGAGTGGTTCGAGCACTGTATAAGAGAACATGCTGCAATTCATGCACTGGAGCTGGAGAAATCGTCGTCTTCGACAGATGCTCAAACTCGGGCTACATTCAGTTTGATCATTGGTTACCTTGCAGATCATCGCAACTTGCCCACGAGGGAGCTGCTGTCACGAAGGTTTTGCCAGAATGTTAAGAAGCATAGGCTTAGGCAGCTTATAGATGACACTATTGGTTCTGTTCCTGCAGATTCTTCTCTGATAAATTCTGTCCTTGAAGTGTGCTTTGGTCCGTCTCTCCTTCCAAAAAGAATTGGCGATGTGAAGTACCTGGTAGATTTTGTTGAAATGGTCATGGAGGCTCTTCCAGCAAACTATCGCCTAGGCTTAGCAGTTGGTGGATTTGTAGCTAAGCACTTCACAGGTTCTGATGCAACCTCCACTGGGACCAGGTTCTGGGCAAGCTCTGTTCTGATCAACGCCATCTTCCGAGCTGTACCTGTCGCACCAGAATCAGTATGGCTACAAGGTGCAGATCTCTTGCAGAAATTGCATGTCACAGAGATTGTGAAGAGGTTCTACCAGCAAGCAGCATCGGTCTACCCCTTCTCCTTCAAGCTGTGGCACGCGCATCTGAATTACTGCAAAGCCAGTGGGAGCAACACTGAGAGCATCGTGGAGAACGCGAGGCAGCGTGGCATCGAGCTGAATCTGACACCAACATAGTGTTTGTCCCTTTTGATCCAAAAGCTGCCTGGTGTTTTGCCAGGTGGAGATGTAGGTAGTGTTGTGTTAACTGGAGATGGCGTAGATATATCGGTGATCATGGTGGTGGTGACTGGTGAGATCATTTTGTTGTTTAGGTGCAGGTTTAGTGGGACATAGTCGTCGATAGCTTACAGCATGTGTTTCTGATGGAGTGAAGTGATGTGGTAAGTAGTAAGTAGTGGTGAAGGATACAGTCATATGGGGCATATACCATACTTTTGGATTAGACGGGCTAGAGAATGTTTTTTTGAGGCCGTTATGTTTACGTTTTCTGTTCTTTTGGTTTTCTCTGTCGTGGATGTATTAGATGCATAACTGCTACTTATAAACATGATGATCAATGGAGAAATGAAATGAGATTTTTTTGGGTTCACTCTTGCAGTTTTTCAGTGGTGTACTAATATTACTCCGTATGTTATTATAATCCAGTGCTTTGTCTTGATTGAATCTGATTTGATACGACGTGGTCAGGCGATGGGGGTCAGGGTTAGTACCACCGTTTTCTGGTTACATTATTGCAAGGGGCTTCCTAATTCTGGTTAGTTTACTGCGCGTGAACGTGGCATTCGGAAATTACAAGGAGCTTCGTAATTGTACTTGCCTATATATATATTTTTTTGAAACAATCTTGCCTATATATACTACGTAAATAAACTTGGGTCTCAGAACGTAATCTGGGGTTTCGTCCAAAAAATGTTGACAAGTGTTTATTTCTGTGTGTTTCGTCCGGTTCATTGCAGATCTCTTGCTGTGAGGATGATCATGGGCTGATTATCAGTAGCAGTTAATTCATGTGCCAAACAAATTTGGGGTTAAGACTTGAGACTAAACTGAACAGAGCTCTCCTGCCCCATGTTATATCTGCAACCCTACCTGCCAGCCATAGTCCCGCTTCTTACATATGACAAACAAAATTCAAAGCTTGCGAGTGATGCTATACTTCGTTCAGAAGTAAAGTAAACGTTTGTTTCTCTGTGTTTCATTTGGTTCGTTGCAGATCTCTTGCTGTGTGGACGAAGAGGGATTGTATTACCATTAGTCGTTCGTTCATGTGCCAACCGCCAAACAAATTTAGAGCTACACCTACACTGAAGCGATCTGAACTGTCTTGCCTCGTGTTATATCTGCAACCATACCCGCTGTAGTCTCGCTTCTTAGGACAATAGCATCAACAACTGGTGATGCTATACTTTGTTCAGAAGTAAAATAAATTTTACTTTTGTGTGTTCCTTGCGCCTATTAGGTGTTAGCTCCTCTATTTTTAACACTTTAGACATCAGTTCAGTTGAGTTACATCACATCAAATTGTGATGCTATACTTTCAAAAATAAACGCTTGTTTCTGTATGCTTAGCTCTTCTTTTTTTTTTCTACACTTCAGATATTGTTTCAGTTCATTAATATGAAATCATACACCGTTAGAAACAAGTGTATGTTTCCTTATGCTTAATGAATTAGCACTTCCTTTCGTACGTTCTAGTCTGAACTGAGTTAGGCCCTGTGGCCCTATTCGCTTCTCTTATAATCCGTCTTTTTCAGCTTGTTTTTTCAGTCGGAATAGTGTTTTTCTCTCACAACAAATCAGCCAGAACAATGTTTCAGCTTGTTTTTTCAGCGAAGCGAACGGGGCCTGTGTCGCTTCCTAGAGAATGAACACCCCCCGCGCACGCGTCATGTCGGCTAACCGAACGGAGCCTTAAGAAAACTTTCAGATGTGAATTGATTTAGCGTCATGCTGTGACGCTGTACTCCATTCAAAATAGATATTTGTTTAATACTTCATCCGTTCTAAATTATAAGTTAGTATAACTTTTTTGGAGAGTCAAAATATTTCAAGTTTGACCAAAATTATAGAGAGAACTATAAAGATTTATGACATCAAATAAGTACACTATAAAAATATAATTGATGAATAATCTAATGATGCTTATTTCGTAACATAAATATTATTATTTATTATATAAATTTGGTCAAATTTGAGAAACTTTGATTTCCAAAGAAAGTTGGAATGACTTATAATTGGTAATGGAGGAGTAGTATGTTTCATGCATCTCTTAGCTCTTCTATTTTTTACACTTCACACATGGATTTGGTCGAGTTAACATGAAAAATGTGTTGTTTTTTATGCCAAAATGTGTTGTTATTAAAGTTGCTAATGGTTCAGTGTGCAACCGGTTTTTATGGTGTGGTCTTGTCGTGACTAGTTTGGGTGCACAATGGTTTCAACCCTTGGCCAAACCCGTTATTGGTTAATGGGCTGAAGCCCACGTAGCACGCACAAAACCATCAAGGGCGTCGACGCCGGCACGACGCCTCCATCCTCGACCTCCAGCTCTACCGGTCCCAGGAGGAGGCCCGAAACCCTACCGCCCCCGGCGCCGTCGCGGCCGCTGCTTCCGGACGACCTCGGGGCCAAGAACTCCAGCGTTGAATCCCGTGCCCACAAGTATGTTTCGTCAGCTCTTTGTATAGATTTGCAGTCAGTTGGTGCAGTTGTAACACGACCATTTGATTGTTTTTTTTTTGAGGGGACGACCATTTGATTGTAGTTTTGGGTGGAATTGATTAACTTGTGGCGCGCCCTTGATTTAGGAATTCGAAGCCCACGCACGTAATCATCGCCGCCAGGGGGCTCGCCGGCGTCGGCGCATCGCAGCCCCGTCCACGGATCTGCCGGCACGTACAACGGCGACGCAAGGCGTACTCCTTCGCGCTCTCACCACCACATATCCTCAATGCCTTTGTCCTTAGCGCGGGTCTGCTCAAGAAGGCCTTCGAGCTCTCCATCCTTGAGCAGGTGGATGAGGAGCTGAGGCAACACTCAGGAATTGACTGCATTTGTAGCGGAACAACTGCAGTCGCTGTTGTTAGGCAGGTACTGATGCTACTGCTGTTACAAGCTTGTGCTTTACTTGAATTGTAACCACTGGCTAATATTGAATACATTTACTGAAAACTACACCTTAACCGTTAAATCAAGATATTTTTTGAACAATTTAATCAACATATTTAGAGCATACATATCACTCATTCTGTTGCCCAATTATCCTTATGCACAGGGTGATCACTTGATAGTTGCTAATTTGGGCGATTCATGCGCTGTCCTTTGCCCTTGGGACAGCTAGGACCGTCGATCCCTGTCCAGCTCATCACTGACTTGAAGCCATATCTTCCAAGTGAGCATCCAAGCTTCTCATCTCATGGTTATCAGTGCACGATATGAAGACACATCTTGACTCCATTTTGCATTCCTGCACACTTGCAATAGGTGAACTCTCGCAAGGATTCTGAACTCACTTTTAGTCTTCTGCTGAACTGGATGCAGGTCAAGGATTAAGCTGCTACAGGCTACGAGGCTCTGGAGCTGGAATCCCTTTACTGCATCAAGTGGCACATCAGACCTGGTAAAAATGAACTCTGCATAAATTGTTGTCATTAAGGTTACATGGTTAGTGAACCTTTGATGAGTATTGTGGCTACTGATATAGAACTTGCGATGTTGTGATTAAGGCTCTGGAGCTGGAATCTCTTTGATTTAGAATTTGCAATGTTGGTCCAATTTGAGAGACTGTTCTGATTCAGGACCATAAGTATCTTAGTCTGGGTACCACTTTGATTTGACAGCAATCTTAGCAACTGAATTTTCCCATGTTTTTGTTCTTGCATGACGTGGAAGTTCTTTCATTTTTTTGACTGCAATCAAATTGTGTTGTGTATGTACAACAGCTAAGAGGGGGGCAAGGGTCTGAGAAAACATTGTGTTGGGATTGGAGAAAACATTCTGTGAACTGCTTGTGTGTGGTAAATTGGTTATCACTACAAGCTGTATAATTTGTCTATCAAAAACTTGTTACTACTAATATCACATTAGGTTGCTTTCTTACAGCTTTACTTAGTGTTAAATTGCTTGTTAGTACTTAGTACTAGCTGCTAGCCTGCTACTTACTGCTTTAGCAATCTATTTATTGAGTTGCAGCTAGCTATCTTTTTAGTTATGCAGATTTTGAATTAGATTGATAGTTAATCTTAAGTCTGGTTACTTCAGACCTTTTTTCAAGTGAAATGTCGACCAACATCAGAGGGTTCAGGAACTCATGATAGTGAAGAGGGTCATACATCTTCGATGCCACGTCGTAAACGGTCCAATGTTTGGGAACATTTTGAGAAAGCCTTGGTTGATGTGGATGGTGAGCTAAAAGCTGTTTGCAGGTACTGTCAACTGAAATTGAGTACCAAGTTTGGTACTAGTAGTCTTAGAGGCCATGTTGCCAATTCTTGCCCAGCAATTGAGAGTGATACCAGAAAGAGATTTCAAGCAAGCATGAGCAAACAACCATTAGATGCAAATTTTGTCTTTGATCCCCACCTCTGTCGTCAAGAGATGATCAAGTATTTAATTCATGCTGAGATTCCATTTCTGGAATTCGAAGACCCGTACTTGCAGCCATGGATTAACACAATGCAACCAACTTTCATAGTCAAGGGTCAGCAAACAATCCGCAATGATTCCTTCCAGAAATTTGAGAAGCTAAAGAAAGAGCTTTATACTGAACTTCAGAATTTGGATTCTCGTGTTTGCTTGACATCAGATATATGGACATCATCGCAGAACTTAGAATACATGGCTGTAACAGCTCACTACATTGATGCAGAATTTAAGATCAATCAAAAGATCATTTGGTTTAAAAAACCAGAGTATCCTCACTCCGGCATTGCAATTGAAGAAGAAATAGTGAGGTGCTTGACAGAATGGGATATAAGGGATAAATTGTTTACTTTGACATTAGATAATGCAAGTAATAACACTTCGGCATGTGAGGAGTTGATAACAAATCATAAACATGAGTTATTGTTTGATGGTGAACATCTACATGTTAGATGTTCTGCTCATATTCTTAACATCTTGGTTCAGGATGGGATGACAGTGATCCATACAACAATACAAAAGATTCGTGAGCTGCTGAAGCATATTGATTCTTCTGTCTCAAGACTTCAAGCGTTCAATTCGCTTGCAAATGGGATGGGTTGGCCTCAAAGTCCGCTATCTACCTTGACATCCCAAACCGATGGAACTCAACCTTCAAAATGCTTAGGGAAGCATTAAAATACAAAGCTGCCCTTATTTCCTATGCTCCTAGATATCTTGAAGTTTTACCTACTGAGGAAGAGTGGGCAATGGCAGCAGCAATTTGTGAATTTCTCAAGGTATTTGAAGAACTTACACTCGCTGTGTCAGCTGATAGGAAGCCTACATCACATTAGTTTTTGCCCTTAGTGCTTCGCATCCTCTATGCCTGGAAGGACCCAGCTTTGCAAAGTACCGATATGCTCAAGGTGTTGGCTGTTTCCATGCATTCCATGTTTGAGAAATATTGGAATCCTGATGAAGATAACTTGCACAATGTAGTTAAAAAAAAGAGAAAGAAGAAAGAGATTGCATTTAACCTTGTCTTAGTCATTGCCACTATATTAGATCCAAGAAGGAAGGCTGCTACTTAGATTTCTTCTTTCAGAAGGTGTGCAATAATACAAATCAGATTGATATGCATGTGAAGCATGCCTTAGAGTGGATGGGAAAGTACTTCACATTGTATGAGCAACGATGTGCAAGGAAAAGTAGTGTGGATATGATGGTGCCTGCTACTTGAAGCCTTTGTTAATGTGGGGTCACTGATTCTTGGAAAAAGAAAGCTTGAAGAAGAATTTGCTCAATACAAATCATGACGAAGAGTTGCACGGGCACCAAATTTGAAATTGATGCATATTTAGAAGAAGAGATCGAGGAGGATAATGAGCATTTTGATATCCTAGCTTGGTGGAAGGGAAAATCAGACAAGTTTCCTGTATTGTCAACTATGGTTCGAGACTTCCTTTCTATTCCCCTTAGCACCGTTTCGTCCGAATCTGCTTTTAGTCTTGGAGGAAGAATTCTTGGAGACCATAGAGGCTCACTAACGCCAGAAATGCTTGAGGCACTTGTTTGTGGGAAAGATTGGCTATTCAAGACCAAAGATCGCATTAGTGAAGGTACAAAGGTTTTTCTTTAAACAAGTGTTCTGCTTTTTCATTTCTGGTCTTTAAACAAAATTTTATTTTTAGGTCAAGATCTAGAACCCGAAGAGGGCTAGCAGTAGCAGGTATGTTGATTGCCTTCTCGAAGCATTCCAGATTCTTAAAGATTCAAGTTTTGTTTGCATTGCACCAATCCTGGTACTGCTTGTGTCACTTATAGATTACACTACATACATGTCTTTATGATGTAGAGTTATAGACTGAGTAATGCCCAACTGCAAAGCTGTTTAGAAGTCCAGTTGTTGCTGTTACAGCATTGTTGCTGCTGCTTCATGATATTCCTTAGGACCTGTTTGGATCAGCTAGGGCTAGTTACTAGTTGGGGCTAAAAATTAGCCCAAACTAGCTGGAGTTGGCTAAAAAATTAGCCCAACTATTAGCCTCCTATTTGGATGGGCAAGGGCTAATTTTTAGATAGCTAACAATTAGCCCTTGGTATCCAAACAGGCCCTTAGCTTTAATAAAAGAAATGTTAATAGGACATATTAGACCTTTTTCTCGTTTCAGCAAAGAAACTCCTTAGCTTCTGTCAAGTGCACATCATGGTGGCACCGGATTTTTCTGCATGGGATCAAAGTGATGTGTTTGAACCAGAGAAATGAGCCGCTCTACATGCATGTCAAGTGCACACTACTTTAGTTCGTTTCTTCCTTACACATTCACATGGCCCAGACCCTGTCATTGACCCACTTCTTCTCTTTACCTGGAATATATAGCTCTTGTGGTTTCAATAGTTGGATTACCAGGGTTAGGGGATGCTAATGAGCTGCTTTTTTTTTCTGCCGCCTGATCAAATCAGGCATTAATTAGTCCTTGCATTCTCACTTGCATGCATGTGTGGACTGATGTGTGTGTGTGTTAACGCTTTCAGAACTCTTTGGTTTTACTGTTGTGGAAAAAAAGTTCAATCATACGCTTTCTAGAATCCTCTTTTTTTTTTAGATTGATTGGTTTAAGCAGTGAAGCTTGACCTCTGGCACTGACTTGTTAGAACTGCGGCTATGCGAAATTTGGCAATGGATCTTGTAAAAGATTTGTGATGGGCACTGTGTAATTTGGTAATTTATTAACAGTCAACAGAGACGAGATTTCCTGTAGTTTAGTTATAAAAGAAATAGCTGACAAACTACCTCTTAGAACTACATGCAACCAACTGAAAAAACTGCAATGGCCGAATGTGGCAGTTGTATGTTTGTGTTTTCAACATTTGTTGTTTCCATCCTAGCATGTTTCGTGATCATGGAGATTAAGAGATGGAAGATGAAGTATTTTTTTTTATCAAAAACGGTGGTGAAATACTTAAAATTTTTGTATAATAAGGGCTAAATATCGTGAAGACTTAAAAATTCTGTAATATGGAGTCTAAACAATACTTCCTCCATACTAAAAAATAAAGTCGTTTTGGACAGCGACATGGTCTCCAAAGTATTACTTTGACTTTTTGTTTTTATAAAAATAGTTATCAAAAAGTGATATATGTATATTTTTATGAAAGTATTTTTCAAGACAAATCTATTTATATGGCTTTCACATTTCCAAACTCAACAACTTAAATATTATTCATGATTTATATTTCCAATGTTTGACCCAAGCCTTGTCCAAAACGACTTTATTTTTTAGTACGGAGGGAGTATGTGATTTTTCTCTTTTGTTAAATGCCAATTTTTTGTTCATTTTATGATTTGCTAAACTTTCCTCGTGTTAAAAATGCTACCTAGCAAAGAGAGGAAAGACCTACTCGCTAACAACTAGCGAGGAACAGGGGCATAGAAACCAAGGTAACAGCACGGGCATTGAAACCAAGGTTAGATCCCAAGGTTTTGAAATGGCTTGAGACTGCTTAGAGGAGAATGTGTTCGTTTGGTTTGGGCCCAAGGGTAGGGTTGGATTGGTTTGGTTTAAAGAGGTGGGCCAGCGGGGTGGATTGGGTTGGCTAGCTGGTCTATGATGGGTTTGGTGTGGGTGTGGTCCAGATTTTGGCCCATTATCAGGTTTAGGTGCTATACGCCTATACTTCATTCAAAAATAAATGTTGGTTTCTGTATGTTTCACGTGTCCGTCAGCTCCTCTCTCTTTTACACTTCAGATATACATTTTGTTGAGTTCAAAGAATCAAAATGAGACTCTTGTCTGTTGACATCCTTTTTTTCTTGGTTTTCTAGGAGAATGTCGTCGAATCCAGACGAACCTAGGAGTCATGCTTGGACAGGCTGTTTACTGAACAATGAATCTGAGGTTCAGCAGTCCTGGGATGAAAACGATGTTTTTGAGGCTGATGCTGGAAGTGAGCCTCCAGGTCCCGGAGAAAAATTCTTCTGGAACTTTCCATACCCTTACATGAATGGCTTGTTGCATCTCGGCTTTGCCTTCTCGTTGTCCAAGCTTGAGTTCGGTGTTGCATACCACAGGCTCTGTGGCTCCAATGCAATTTTGTCCTTTGCTTTCCACTGCACTGGAATGCCCATCAAGGCCTCAGCTGATAAGCTTGCCAGGGAGATCCAACAATTTGGAAATCCCCCGGTAGTGGCGCAAAACGGCAGGAGGGTTCTAGTGCTGCAGTGGCAGATGCTGTCCAGGCTGATGCTATTGTGCCAGATAAATTTAAGAGCAAGAAGTCCAATTGCTCCAAAGGCTGGCGCACATAAGTATCAGTGGGAGCAAGGGCTGCTCTTAATCTTGCATACCAACCAGGTTGTGTGAGCTATCTGGCTCTGATTTGATTGGTTTGCCACTAAAATTTCCTCTTGTCTTCAATGAAGCCATATATACTCTTCCAATTCTCACTGTCTTGACAAGGTACTTGCATTGTGACTAGTGTTCCAAGTGATTCACCTAATGATTTCATGGCACTTCAAGATTTAATCACAAAGCCAGGTTTGAGGGCAAAATATGGCGTGAAATACAAGTGGGTTCTTCCATATGAGATTGTACCAATAATCCACATTCAATATGAGATTGTACCAATGAATGACATATCTGAAGGGATGTACTGATGGAACAATGACTGTAGGTGAGTTCAGCGATAGAAAGGTTCAAGAAGTGAAACCCCTGATTAAAATAAGCTTTTCGATGAAGGCATAGCCGTGTTGTATAGTGAGCTAGAGAAGGTCATGTCTAGATCTTGTGATGAGTGTGTTGTTGCCCTCACTGATCAGTGGTACATAACTTGTGGTGAGGCTGAATGGAAGCATGAGGCATTCAGGTGTTTAGACAACATGAATACATTCTCAGCTCAAACCCGAAATGGTTTTGAGCACACATTGGGATGGCTGAACCAGTGGGCATGTTCACGTTCTTTTGGCTTTGGTACTTGAATTCCATGGGATGAGCTGTTTCCTTGTAGAGTCTCTTTCTGATTCAACCCTATACATGGCTTATTACACAGTTGTGCATCTTTTTGCAAAATGGCAACATGTATGGAAAGAAATGTCTTCAATAAGGCCAGAAGAAATTACAGATGAAGTCTGGGATTTTGTGTTTTGTGATGGCCCAGCTCCAAAAAGTGACATCCCTCCAGCTCTGTTGAGCAAAATGAAGCAAGAATTTCAGTATTGGTATCCATTTGATATTCAGGTGTCTGGGAAGGACCTTATTCAAAACCATCTGACATTCTGCATATACAATCACACAGCACTTCAAGATTTGCCCTCGCTGTGATGGTATGGATGATGCAAACTTTGTCACTGAAACTGCAAATTCTGCTGTTATGAGGCTGACAAAAGAAATTTCATGGATGGAAGAGGTTACAGCTGCTGAATCTGAATTGAGAACTGGACCGCCCACTACATATGCTGACCATGTGTTTGCAAATGAGATGGGCATTGCAATCAAAGAAACTGAGAAGAGCTACAATGCTTTCATGTTCAGAGACGCCCTGAAATCTGGGTTTTATGACCAATTGGCTAGAGATTACAGGCTCTCGTGTGGCGCAGCAGGCATGAACCTTGATCTGCTGTGGCAGTTTATGGATGTCCAGACTCCAGACCAGGCTCATCACCCCCATTTGCCCACACTAAGCTGCTGAGTACATGTGGAGAAGGATCATGAAGAAAGAAGGCTTTGCAATAAAAGCTGGCTGGCCAGTCGCAGACACCCTGGATCCTACTCTGCGAATTGCAAACAAACACTTGCAGGATACCATAGTTTTGATGAGGAAGCTGCTTCAGAAGCAAGAGTCTGGTTCCAAGAAGCCCAAGGGAGCTGTGCCTGCACCTCCATCAGGGGGAAAAAAGATAAGCATTGGCCTTATATATGTCAACGAGCACTACTCTGGCTGGAAAGATCAATGCTTGAGGGTGCTGCAGTCTAAATTCAACAGCCAAACACACTCCTGACAAGGGAATAGCAGAAGCTCTGATGAATCGTCCCATCAGGCAGGAAATGAAACTTGAAGCAAGTTCAGAAGCTCTGCATGCCCTGCATCAAGTTGAAGGACGAAGCAAGGGAGGTTGGTAATCAGGCACTGGATTTGAAGCTTCCGTCTGGTGAGATGGATGTTCTCCGAGTGAACTTGGAGCTGATCAAGAGGCAGCTGGGGCTTGAGCAAGTCGAGGTGCTGTCACCGTCTGATGAAGCCGCTCGCACTAAAGCTGCTGAGCATGTTTTGCTGCTGGAGAACCCAACCCCCCTCCCCCTGGTGACCCGGTCGCCATTTTCCTCAGCAAACAGGAGCTTGAGGCTTAAAACTGAGCTTATGTTATCGCTAGTTGGAACTTTCTCGTGCTACTCTGTGTTTGGCGAAAGCCTGAGTTTTGTAAGATATTGGTCCTCTAACGCAGCCCAAGATCAACTGTTATGCTTTTGCTGTTAGCATTTTCAGAGAATACACACACCTGTTATTATTAAACTGTGAATGCAGCAGAGTTGACGTGTGTTTGCTGCTACGCCGTTGATCTGCTGTCCTGTCTGGTGCATCAGGTACATTTCTGATAGCAGTTGCATACATGGCATTTTGAGGGACGCTCATATGTATCCAAGTTAACGCTTCCTGTCCCATCACAAATTATGTGACCTTAGTCTGTCTAAATTCAACAATTTCAGTTTTTTTTTTGTAATAATTTGCGTTCTATGTGGTAGGCTTTGGATATCTGATAAAGGTGCTAGTAGGTTAGTACAGTAACATACTTTTACTTTTGTGTATAGCGAAAGCGAGGGCTCAAAGTTCCCTATAAGCTTTCATGCGATGCTCACCAGCGGAAGAAAGCTGACATTTTATATGCTTCCTGGAGGAAATGTGATTTTTTTTTCTTCATTTTTTTTTTCATCTCTGGATCTGGTCGTGCCATTTCCAAATAATTAAACTCAACACTTAGGTTCCACAAAAAAAAAGTTTGAAACGGTTGTCTCGGCACCCCAAATGTTGATACTGTGGTAAAATTGCTCTACCCACAAGGCCACAGGTCACCCTCGTGCCCCAACCAACCCCCAATAAATTCAACGGGGCAGCAGCCAGCCTCCAAGCCGGGTTCCCAAATCACAAAACTTCCCGCCTTAGCTCACCTAATACTCGGTCGGTGCCCCTCTACGTACTCCACCTCGCCACCGGCGACGCGCGCACCCACTTCACCTCCGCTCTCCTCTCCACTCCACACCACAGCGATATAACCGCACCGCCGCGCGACCAATCGAACAACAAGGCGCAGCTCGGGTGAGGGCCTGCTGCGGCCGAGGCGAAACGACGTACGATGCACCCGCTGGTGGAGGCGCTCGTGGGGGAGCGGCAACACTGGGCGCCGGCGCTGCGGCACGCGGCGGCATGGGCGGGGGCGCTCGCGCTCGCCGTGTCCGTCGCGTCGTTCGCGCCGGAGGCGGCCTTCGTGTGGGCGCTAGCGGGCGGCGGCAGGGCGGCGTGCGCGGCCGGGGCGGTGCGCGTGCCGCTGGACGGCGGAGGGGACCACGTCTGCGTGCCGGCGCGGATGGCCGGGCGGTCCGGTATCGACCTGCTCGTGCCGCCGGCGTTCGCGGGGCTCGCTGTCGGCGCGTCCGCCTGCTTCGTCAGGGCGCTCGCCATCGGCCGCCGCCACGACGAGTACTAGCAGACGCGTCCTTGGAGTGGAGGCATGCTACCGATCAATCGACTACTAGCCGCTTCCTGTTTGTCAAGTGTACAACAATATACACAGTGTACTAGCATGAAACATGCATGTGCACGTTCCTTTCTCTTTCCTGTAACTTGTTCATAATCATAACACGCCGGTAACCTGATACAGTATGGATTTATCGTGGACCAATACAACTTCTTGTGTCATTAGTAGTCATAACCAACTTAACATGTTTCATTTGTCGTCAGACCTGTATTCCTACCTAGCACTGCAAGTAACAAGTAGCTCATCGGCCATCTCACTTTGACCAGTGCAAAGTTTGGTGACCTACTAAACTATACTCCTATTAGTAGGACGTCCTATACGTACATACTCCAGCTCCACGTTTCTATTAAACAGCTTCACCTATCATCACTAACAAGCACAGCAACTTCACCGAAACATCTCTGCCGCCACAGCTTCCTTACCCTGTCAACCTCCTCGGCGACCTCGCGCATGGGTGGCCTCTTCTCGCCGGACATCTCCAAGCAACGCTTCGCGAGCTTCGCAACAATCCCGAGCACCTCGCCGCCGACCTCGCCCCTGATCCCCGCGTCCAGGAGCGCGTCGAGCCTGCCGTCCTTCACCGAGGAAAGGAAATGCGCCGCGAGGCTGCGCTCCTCCTCGGGCGCCGCCAGCGCCAGCGCCTTCCTGCGCGTGAGCAGCTCCAGGGAGGACGACGCCGAAGCTGTACACGTCGCTCCTGTCCGTCAGCCGGCACGTCTGCATGTACTCCGGGTCCAGGTACCCGCACGTGCCCTGCACCAGCGTCACCAGGTGCGCCTCGTCGGAGGGCGCCAGCACCGACGCGCCGAAGTCCGACACCTTGGCGTTGTAGTTCTCGTCGAGCAGGATGTTGGCGAAGAGTCCTGCCCCTGCCGTGATTGCTTCATCTCCTCGAAGAGGAGGAGACCGCCATGCTGCCGGAAGTATCTCTTCTTGATGGCGGCGAGCCGCTTCTTCTCTTGGACCGCGTAGGCGCAAGACAACACCATAGCTAGCACAACCACACCAACGCTGCCACCTGTAGTGTGGGAATATACATATGGTTTCAGACAAATGTAACACAACTAAGCGCAAAAAAAAAAAAAAAGCCCAAATGTAACACAAGTGTATATATAGGCGGAATAGTTATTTTGGTCCCTTAAGAGTATCCTAGGCTCTTTTGGCACGACTTCTCCATCGGTTCCTAAAGTCGTTTGGAGTCATTTTATGCTAAACGAGGTAAAATCAAACGACTTCACCTAAGGAGCCCCTTAAATTATGCTCTCACAAAGGATATATGGAGGATGGAGCCAAAATAGTGGTTTCACCTGGCTTCAACTTGTCTTAAGTGGGCCTTGCATGGGTTCTGTGAGAGCATATTTTAAGAAGCTCTACATGTGGAGTTGTTTTGCCAAACAATTTACCAAAATGGCTCTAGCTCCATCTCCATCATCGATGTTCATGGAGTTGAAGCAAAAAATAACGGCTTCACTGGTGAAGTGAAGCCGTGCCAAACTTACTCTTACTCCTAAGGAGTTTTGTAAAACAACTCCCTACTTTAATATTTTAGCAAAAGAAAAAGAATCTCCTACCACAGTTTGGTAAAAAAGTTCCCTGAAAACAAAAAAATGCAAAATATTCTCTTCAATTCGTAAGTTTTTGGAGTCGAGAAAAACCCCGTATCCACTCCCCATCCGATGTTTCTCGGAAGATCAGAGTAAATTTGGCTCATGAGTAAATTAAGAAAATAAAGGGTTCTAGGTGAGAAAATGATAGAGAGAAAAAAAACTATTAAAAGCGGTTGTATTGGTTAGAAATAGTTTACGTTTCCCAATGAAAAATTATTTAAAGTTATTATAGGAGAGTACTTGAGAAGGGAAAAAAATTTAATGTTGCTACTTCTTCTGTTAACTTGCTAGATCTATTCGTTTAGCAAGTAAGCTATATCAAACTGCTGAAGATGCTCTAACTACCGTCCAAGGTTTAATTTCATTCTTAAACTTTTAAATTGGCCGTTTCAGTCCTAAATCTTTACTTTTAGGCTCAATTTTCAATCTAGGACTATCAAAGTAAATGTTTTAGTCCTCAAACTTTGCACTTTAGGATCAATTTCATCAATGAACTATCAAGCAAGTGCATTTCATTCCCGTCCCTGAACTTTCATAGTTCATGAAAGGAATTAAGCCCAAAATGCAAAGTTTGAGCACTGAAACAATACTTCTAGGATGAAACTAAACTTAAAAGTATAGTTTGAGGACTGAAATGGTAATTTTTGAAAGTTCAAGAGTCAAAGAGGGACTAAAATGACTATCTTGCCATATATATGTTAGCACACAAACTCAAGGTTTGTTCGGTTAGTTTCTGATCTGAAGGAATTGGATTCAAGACTAATTAGCCAAACAAACTCTAAGGAAGAAGTTATTACTTAGGCTGAAAATGAAGGTTTGTTCTGTCGATGAAATGGAGCATATCTAAGAAATCGATAAGTTTAATTATGTGAGTACATTATTAACATACAAAGAAATTTATATTTTAATCCGTAGAACTTTCATCGAAAACAGTGTCTCTGGCGTCCTAGTGCTTAATATAATACACGAAGAGGTAGAAAAATGAAAAGGAATGAAGATTGCATACCGATTGCAGGCATGGAGTAATCTATCTCGCATCCACCACTACCGTCAGCTTTTGGTCGCCTACCACGAGGGCATGAGCATTTGTGGCCTCCTTCCGTGTTGACACATTTAGCAGAGGCAGGGCATGGATTCATCTCCTTGCACGTGTCAATAAGCAGGACGAATCATTATTGTGAGACATTTGACATCATATAAACTTCTAAGGGGTTGTTTGGAACGCAGAAAATTATTCATGTTTCTACGTTTTTCATGTGAAATGAACTAGTTCTGTAAAATCTTATATGATTCATGTGAAATTCTTACGTTCTAAACAAGCTTTAAAATATGCACAATATCTCAAGAAGCATACTATAATTACAAATAAGCCACCAACTTAATATTTTATCAAAAAGTATTATTATATGACCTATTTCGACTATATATCAAGTTCTTGGATTCAATCAAAATGACCAAATTTCAACAAAGTTCACTCATCTCAATGAGGCCCGAAACAACATACCTGTCAAAAATTTTGGCCAAATTTGAACTTTTAGTTCAGACCAGAGTTTAAACAAATCCACAAGTTCTTCCTTTAGTATGAAAGTGCAAACTTATCAAGCTATAATAATCTGTGTGCCACGCCACTTGATCAAATTTTAGCTAATCTGAACATTTTGACTAGTCAAAACAAGTGACTCCTAGTTCGAAATTATCGAAATCTCTAAGATTCACCTATTTGTGTTAGGTCCAATTTTTTTTTCATTTGAATCTTAGAACCGGTATATGTGGAATGTCTAGACTTACTACAAAGGATCGCTATATATCGCACAAGCATCTCATACCAAGCCTAGGAGCATTTAACCAGTTATTGTTGTAGCAACGACCAAACTCTTAAATTACATATATAACAATATTGAATATATAACAATAACAACAACAAGAACAATAACTATAACAATAGCAACAACAATAACAACAATGAAGACGACGATGATGATGAGGAGGAGGAAGAGAGAGAACTCACATTCGCAGCCATTCTTGCGGTAAGGGTTTCCTCGGTACCCAGTTTTGCACTTGCATAGATACCCTGGGCCGTTGGTGGAGTTGACACACTCGTGGTTGTCGCTGAGGCAGGCATATGTCGTCTTGTCTTTCTGTGCCACCAAGCAACTCTTGTTGCCCATCTTGATCGAGCACCAGCGGCAATCGCTACCAAAGAAGCCGCCGCAAGGTCCCTCATTAGTGACGAGGACGTCCGGAACTTGAACTTTTCCTCTCCACCAGAAATGTTGATCAAGGTTCCTGTAATCGTGTCGAAGATATGTATCCATGTTAGGTGCATTAGTTTGTTTCATTTCGATTGAACATCATGTTTGTAACAACAGAGAATCTTAGGTGCTCGGTGATTGCACACGAGCACGCTTAGGACCACGTCTTTAGGCACCTCCCCCGCCATGGTCGGGCACGCCGTGCATGTCGCACGGTGACCGAGAATGACGACACACCGTCAGCGCGCCAACCATGGCGGGGATGCGGATCTGAGCCTTAAAAGGCCAAGTCGAATGCATCGAGAAGCCGTGTGTTCCATGATGAAAAGAAACCGCCCACTCTCTCGCGTGTATCGCTCGCTCGCCGCCGGTAGGGTTTTAGTCGCCCATGTCACCACCAGCCGGTGTCGCATGCCGTGCCGAACTCCTCGCCGAAGATCGGTCCCAACATTCTGGTATCGGAGCTGGTTTATGCAATACGACGGCAGCGTAAGCCCACCAAGAGAGCCACCGCGCAAGAAATTCGTCGTACCCTCGCGAACGCCACCACCAACCACCATGGGCGATGCCCAGACTTCCAACAGCACCGGCGGCGTCAAGGAGAGCTCACTCCTCTGGCCGATGCTGACCACCGACAACTACACCGAATGGGCGATGCTGATGCAGTGCAACTACGAGGCTTTGGAGATCTGGGGGGTGATCGACCCAGGTACCGGCGTCAAGCGCGCACAAGATCGGCAAGCGATGAGCGCACTCTTGCGCTCAGTCCCGAAGGAGATGTGGCAGTCGTTGGGGAGGAAGGCGACGGTGAAGGAGGCGTGGGAGGCAGTGAAGACGATGCGGATCGGCGCGGATCGAGTCAAGGAGGTGAACGCCCAGAGGCTCTTGAAGGAATTCGAGAACATCGCCTTCAAAGAGGGCGAATCCATCGACGACTTCGGCATGCGCATCACCAATCTCGTCGGCAACCTGAAAACCCTCGGCGAGAACATCGATGATGTCCGCGTAGTGAAGAAATTTCTTCGCGTGGTGCCACCTCGCTTCACGTAGGTGGTAGTCTCCATCGAGATGTTCGTCGATCTGAAGACCCTGACAGTGGAAGAGCTGATCGGGAGGTTGCGCGCGGCGGAGGAGCGTTTCGACGACAAGACTGAACACGTCACCGACAAGATGGGGAGACTCATGCTTGCCGAAGAGGATTGGTTGGAGAAGAACAAGCATCGCTTCCAATCTGGGTACAAGCCCGGAGGAAGCGGATCGGGCGGCGGCGCTCCAAAGAACAAGACGGCGGCACGAACTGACGGCGGTGCCTCAAAGCCGGTCAAGTTGACCTTCGAGGGCACGCCGCGTTGCAAAGGCCGGTGCCGCAACTGCGGCATCTACGGTCATTGGGAGCAAGACTGTAAACGCCCCAAGAAAGACAAGAAGAAAGAACAGGTCCAGCCGAAGGCTAACGTCGCCATCGGCGGCGGTGATCAGTCGGGCGATCGATCTTGGGCCACGTGCGACGTCGTGCACGGGTCATCTCAGTGTGTTCACCTGATGGAGGAGAAGGTCGTGCCGGTGGACGTCCCTGATGGTGTCTGGGTGCTTGACACCGGCGCCAGCAATCATATGACAGGTATGCCGTCAGCTCTGACGCAGATTGATACAAGTGTTCGAGGAACAATCAAGTTTGGCGACGGCTCCAGCGTCAGAATCAGAGGTATGGGCTCAGAGTAATGCAAGATCGCTTTGAGGGTCATAAAGTACTTACTGAAGTTTATTACATACCTGAGTTAAGAAGCAATATTGTCAGTTTGGGACAGTTAGAAGAAAAGGGCTTTAAATATGTTGGTGAGAAAGGTAGACTGTGTGTTTATGATCAGGAGCATACTCTGTTGATTTCTGCACCTAGAGTTGGGAATAGACTGTATTTAGCAAAGTTTGGTTTAACACCACCAGTCTATTTGCTTGCTCAATCTGATGACAAGTCATGGAACTGGCATGCCAGATTTGGTCACTTAAATTTCAGATCTTTGAGTAATCTTAGTGACAAGTCTATGGTAGAAGGGTTGCCTAGCATCAGAAAGGTAGATAGAGTTTGTGATGGGTGTGTTCTTGGAAAACAGCATAGAAAACCATTTCCACAAGTGTCAAGTTTCAGAGCTGAAAAGGTTTTAGATTTGGTCCATGCAGACTTATGTGGGCAAATTACACCTAAGAGCATAGGAGGTGCTTCCTATTTTCTGCTAGTGGTTGATGATCACAGTAGGTATATGTGGGTGGAAATGCTAAAGACTAAAGATCAGGGCACTGGAGTGTTTCAAAAGGATAACACTAAGGGCTGAAAATGAGTCTGGTGGAAAACTGAAAGCCATCAGGACAGACAGAGGAGGTGAGTTCAACTCAAATCTGTTCACTGTGTTCTGTGATGCTGGTGGGATCAAGCACTACACCACAGCCCCATACACACCACAGCAAAATGGGGTTGTGGAGAGGAGAAATCAATCAGTGGTTGAGATGGCTAGGTGTTTGTTGAAAACCATGAAGGTTCCATCAGTATTTTGGGGAGAAGCAGTGAGAACTGCTGTCTATTTACTGAACAGGTCACCTACCAAGGCCCTAAACAGTAAAACTCCATATGAAGCTTGGCATGGGAAGAAGCCTAAAGTGAGTCACTTGAAGATTTTTGGTTGTGTGGCAAATGTGAAGCTGGTTGGTCCTGGAATTAGCAAATTGTCTGACAGATCTAGCAAGATGGTATTCATAGGCTATGAATCAAGCACTAAAGGCTATAGACTGTTTGATCCTTCCACCAACAGGTTGGTGGTGAGTAGGGAAGTCATATTTGAAGAAAATAAGCCTTGGAATTGGGACAACACAAGCTGCAACACAGACCAGCAAGAGACAGACACTTTTGTTGTTCACTATGACTTAACTGACCAAAATCCGACAATAGAAGCTGATGCTGAAAATGCAGACACTGCAGGCAGTCCAGCTACAGCTGCAGGGGGTGATCTTTCAGCAAGTCAAGGGAGTAGTGTGGGACTCAACCAACCACCTGACTCCCCAAATACTTCAGGCTCAAATGCAGCACCAGCTATGAACTATGCAACCCCACCAAGTCAACATTCAAAAGAAACCTATGGTGGACCTTTGAGGTTCAGAACACTGAATGACATCTTTGATACAACTGAAGAATTGGAAGATTATGAATATAGTGGGGTATGCCTGTTAGCAGCTAATGAGCCAGAGGGAGTGGAGGAAGCTCTAGTGGAACAGTGTTGGGTTGATGCAATGAACAGTGAGCTGAAGTCAATTCAGGAGAATAACACTTGGTGCTATGCAAATTTACCAAAGGGTCACAAAGCAATAGGTTTGAAATGGATCTTCAAGGTGAAAAGGGATCCATAGGGCAATATTGTCAAGCACAAGGCAAGGCTTGTTGCAAAAGGATATGCTCAAAAGTTTGGGGTGGATTATGAGGAGGTTTTTGCTCCTGTAGCTAGGCTTGAGACAGTGAGACTCATGCTAGCCCTTGCTGCCAATGGAAAATGGGAGGTACATCACATGGATGTCAAATCTGCTTTTCTGAATGGTGAGCTGCAGGAGGAGGTATATGTACAGCAACCACCTGGTTTTCAGAGTTCAAAGCATTCAGGCAAAGTACTGAAACTGTCAAAGGCTTTATATGGCCTAAAACAAGCACCCAGGGCCTGGAATGCTAAGTTAGATCAGGAGCTTGTTAAGCTGGGGTTTTGTAGAAGTGTTGAAGAACATGCAGTCTACATGAGAGGTAGTGGAGACAGTTTGTTACTTCTAGGAGTGTATGTCGATGATCTTGTCATTTGTGGGCCTGACAGAAAGAAGATACAAGAGTTCAAGCAACAAATGAGCAAAACCTTCTGCATGAGTGATTTGGGCTTACTGAGCTACTATCTGGGAATGGAGGTGAATCAAAAACCTGGTGAAATAACCATCTATCAGAGAGCATATGCAGCAAAAATTGTTGATCAATGTGGCATGACAGGCTGCAATTCTGTTGACACTCCAATGGAGCAGAATTGTAAGCTACTTCCTGGGAAACCTAATCTGGCAAGAGATGTAACAAAGTTCAGAAGCATTGTGGGAAGCTTGAGGTACCTAGTGAATACTAGACCTGACATTGCCTATTCTGTAGGCATGGTCAGTAGGTTCATGGAGTCACCTACTTCTGAACATTGGGCTGCTTTGAAGAGAATTGTCAGGTATGTGGCGGGAACAACTGAGTATGGCTGCAAGTATACCTGCAGTACATTTGCAAACCTAAAACTGTTGGGATATTCTGATAGTGATCATGCTGGTGACTTGGAGAAAAGAAAGAGCACATCAGGTGTGGTGTTTTTCCTGAATAGCAACATAGTGACATGGACTTCACAGAAACAAAGAGTGGTGTCATTGTCGAGCTGTGAAGCTAAATACATTGCTGCAGCTTCAGTTGCATGCCAAGGAGTATGGCTTGTCAGACTCATTGCAGACCTCACTGGACAGAAGATGCAGAAGTTCAGGCTCCTGATGGATAGAAAATCAGCCATTGAGCTAAGCAAAAATCCAGTATACCATGAAAGGAGTAAACACATTGACACTCGCTACCATTACATCAGGGAGTGTGTGTCTAATGGAATTGCAGAGGTGGATCTTGTCAGCACTGACAGGCAGCTTGCAGACATCCTGACAAAGCCTCTTGGGAGGATCAAGTTTTTGGAGATGCGTCAACTGCTTGGAGTCAGCGACGTCTGTCACGATTAGGGGGGTGAAATGTTGATCAAGGTTCCTGTAATCGTGTCAGTATATGTATCCATGTTAGGTGCATTAGTTTGTTTCATTTCCAGTTGAACATCATGTTTGTAACAGCGTAGAATCTTAGGTGCTCGGTGATTGCACACGAGCACGCTAGGACCGCGTCTTTAGGCACCTCCCCGCCATGGCTGGCACGCCGTGCATGTCGGACGGGTGACCGAGAATGACGGCACACCGTGCAGCGCCCAACCATGGCGGGGGATGGGGATCTGAGCCTTAAAAGGCCAAGTCGAATGCATCAGAGAAGCTGTGTGTTCCGCAGTGAAAAGAAACCGTCCACTCTCTCGCGTGTATCGCTCTCTCGCCGCCGGTAGGGTTTTAGTCGCCGCGGTCACCACCAGCCGGTGTCGCGCCGTGCCGAACTCCTCGCCGGAGATCGGTCCAAACAAGAAAGGCGTATCTGCACGGGCTACCGCTGGAGCCGGAGCCGTCTGGTCGGTCCTCACCGTCGGCGACGAAGCTAGGGACAAAGGACCTTATCCCCCGCTGGATCGTCGTCTGGCAGCAGCCGTCCGTGCCGTCGCAGGCGGAAATGCCGCCGCCATTATTGGCCATCATCGACGACGGCGGTCGTCGCACACCACCGCGCGGGCACGAGGCGCTGCAGCCCACCACGTAGCGGTTCTCGACGCCGCGGTCCTGCGTGCCGATGTAGGCCAGCACGCCGCAGCCGACGACGGTGAGCACGTTCTCGGTGCCGGAGACGCGGAACGTCGTGGACTCGTACACCCAGCTGTTGTCGTCGACCGTGGACGGCGACGTGGCGTTGCGGCACCAGGAGCTCAACCTGGTGTAGGCTCGCATCCTCCCGCCGGCCACGGCGATGTCGAGCACCTGCAGGCCGCCGTCGACCATCGGGATGGGCTCGGGCTGCAGCGCGCCGTCGGCGTCGCGGTTGCTGCAGGTGACGTTGAATGGCTCGTCCCCGCCGCCGTCACCGGCCGTCTCGAGGTAGCAGCCACGGCCGATGCCGAAGGGGTACGGGATCTTCACGCGGCCGCACTCCTCCCTGCACTTCGCCGCGGCCGCCGCCGGCGAGAGGAGTGCGGCAACGATCAGGGCAAGCAGCATTGCCGGCATCTCGCTCTTCAAGCCCATGGTTATTAGGAGTTAGGACTTTAGCTAGTGGTAGTGTTTGTTCTGCTCTCCGTGCTAGTGAGATATATAGATGGCGGGGAAGATTCTTACGCGCCACTACAAATAATATATATTGCCGTTTCATGCATGCATGATCCCGGCGAATTTGAGTCATGTTGAAATTCCTCACTATATATATTGATTAACTGGGTCAGGCTAGCGATGATCGTAGTTAAGGAGTGGAGCTTTTGACGATACTAGCTAACACTACTAAAGGAATGGTTTCTAGGGACGACTGATGAGGCTTTATAGAGACGACTCGGCCAGCCACCCCTACTATACCGTCTCTATAAATCATGTATTTATAGGGGCGGTTCCCAGACCGCCCTTACAAATCGATTTGTAGGGGCGGCTGGTGTACCAGCCGTCTCTATAATACCTGTTTGTAGGGACGGTTCAGTTTAAAACCGCCCTACGGTACATTTTCCGTAAAAAAAAAATTCAAATTTACCATTCAAATTCGAACAGAACACACATATATATATACACGCATATATAATTCAACTCTGACCAGAACATATATAATTCAAATATGACCACAAGCAAAAGAGCATTATATAAACTACCATTATAAGTCCAATTCACAAAAATATATACAATCTATCATTAAATAGACATAATTCACAAGTCTAATTCGTTTCACAAGTCCAAACCGTCCCATAAGGTAAGATCAATGTTAAATTCCATACACATTGTTATCAACGGCCTAGAGCTAGCCTTTTAGTCTTACGAATGTGTCAGTTCTGAAGATTTCTACCTAAGTC